CGTATAAATATATCAAAATACCTGGATTATTTTTATTCCTTGAGTTTCGATTGTGATTTTAGGAGCGTTAAATATAGATATTTATTTTATTCAAGTAAAACGAATCATACTCGAGTACGCGAAAATTTCCATTAATTTGAAAAAAAGAGATATCTCGTCCAATTAACCATCAACATACTTGACCTCCTTTCCCTCCTCCCATCTCTTTAACCAATAAAAACGACCCGTGCACAAAATTTATCGCAACTCAATTTCCTCGGTTGCCTCAAAATCACCATCGAGAATAATTCAATATCGTTATTCGCAAATTTACACGAGAACAAAACAGGTTTGGAATTAACTCGCGGGGAAGCGAAGTTTAATGGACGTCGAGTAAATTTATTAGTCATCTGTTACCGAATACCATTCAGGTTAACCCATTTACAGAGCCACGGTGTGTATCGGTAACGATATGATACGCGTTTTCTCTCGAGACGTGAAATTGGAGCGATTTATATTCTTTTCTCTCTTTTTTCTCTCTTCTTTCTCTCTCTCTCTCTCTCTCTCTCTCTGTATTCTCCAAAGTAGTTCAAAGTATACATGTGCATTAGTGTTCTGTAATTTCATTGATCGTGCGCCCATACTATCGGCCTCGAAGCAATTTTATTACGTTTTCTTCTCCGCCATACGAGTCAACACAGTCCGTGTTTTTCTTGCAATTTCAGTTACGTAATTCGCTTCGTGCAACACTGTGCACACCTCGTTTCGAACGAAATCCTCGCTTTTTCGAGGGAACGATCGAGATTAAACCGTGCTTTTTCATTTCGCTCCAGATACTTTGGTATCGGTGTTTGCTATATATAGATATAGATTGCCGGTGAACGAGAAAATAATAGTTTTAATAACGTTTTCGTTTCTTCTCGCGATGATTCGTGACAATTTTTAAGAATTCGTGTCTATTCGCTAATTCATCCCCTGTTTAAATCTGTTCGAAAATAAAATTTAAATCGATCTTTCTCTTTCTCTGGAAGAAATTTTTTTTTCCCCGATCAAATCGATATTACGTACACGTCGATATAAAAATTTTTCCTTTTAATCTCATAAATACCTCAATTACATCGATTTTCATTATTTTGAAGGATTATCGTTTCGACGATCTGCGACTACAAAGCAACAATCCTCCCATAAATCTCTCACAGCGCAATTTTCATCGCGGTAAATTTAATCTCGAAAGAAGAAGAAGAAGAGAAGAAGGAGAAAAATGTATTATCGTCGATCAAATCTTGGACAAACGGAAATCCCGTGCTACATCATCATCGAAGGAGGGATAAGAGAGTGGAGGCTCTTAAGAGTACGCGGCGCACAAGTGACCGAGGATCGCGAATAGGCACGCTTGAGCGTGGAAATCGCGGATGGACGTGGAGCAAACACAAAGAAGGCATCGATGATGGGCTGAGAGGGGCGGAGAGGGGGCGCGCGAGAGACGTGGATTTTCAAGCGGCGTATAAATAATGTAATGGCGCCGGGGGAACAATGACAACGAGGGGACAAGCGGTGCACGGGTGACGGCCGTGTATAATGATAATTTGTCGAGCGAGCTCCTCCTAAAAATTACACAAAGTGGCCGAGCCGGTCGGCCTTGGACGGCCCCGCAATTACCACTCCGCAAATAAGCGGACGACGACGCGGTGACATCACTCGTGTTCTATACGTGTTTCCACAGATTTCGAGGATGCTCGGCCGATAAAGTCGGACGAGCCGGTTCGATCGGCTCCGATGGATCGGCGGATGATCGTTGGAGAAAGTTGATCGCGACAGGTTTCGGCTCCTCGTCGTCGTAGTCGTCGTCGTCGTTACATTGTGAAAGTATCGATCGCGAAACGCTCGTGACTCGTGGAAGGGGAGAGGAGGGAGATCGGTTATGAGCGATGGATTTGATGGATCGCGAGGCGACTCAAGATTCGATCGAGGAGAAATCGCGGTGGAATAGAAAGAATGCGGTGAATTGTTTTGCGCGTTTGTGGAACGTTGTAGAAAGCCGCCGATTTTCCAACATTTTCGAGAATAACAATCCGAGGAGGAAGGAAAAGTAAAGGAATAATATAGGCTTTACGATAGATTTTATCGACGTTTCAAACACACGGGAGGGGAAAAAAATATCGCGAGAAAGATTGACGACGATGATCGAAACGGAAATACGTCAATTATAAAAGAAGCTATAAGCGTGACGTGACAACTGCAAAATATCTAAACCCTCAACCGAGCGAGCAATTAAAGCGAGTCGAAAAATTTGAAAAATATTTCTCCTAAAAAACTCTCGACGTGAAATAAATGGAACTGTCCGCCAAAAAAATATTTCTAAATCCTAATTTTGAAAAATGGATAAAACGCATAGTTCGTAACAAATATTCGCGAACGAAGTGAACTCTTTAATCGTTTTAAACTTAATTCACACGCGATCACATCCCATTCCAATCGTATATCTTTCCAACAATGTAGAAAAAAGTTAATAATCACACGCACACACAAAACATACCACGAAGCCTCTTCTTCCACCAACTCTTCTTCCACTCGACCATTCGAATCGACTTCACTTCTTCGTCTTAATTTCTATCGACGCAGAATCGATTAACTTTCGATGGATTTAACCATTTAATCATTTCGCGCGGAGAAATGCTTAACGTACGGCACTCCTTAACGGTACAACGCGTTATAACGCGCAAATTGCGCAATGGAGTTGTGCGTAGATACGTACTCGTTCGTATCGTTGGCCGAAAACAAACAAATTCGATAAGTTCGTAGCGCGTATATCGCTACGAAAGGTCGTGGCGTGTGATTATTCGACGCGGCGACGCGATCTCAAAATTTATAAACACGATGTAAGCGGTTTAACTTCGCACGCGAGAGATATTGTTACGTGGAATACAAACCGTGTGCCCGATAAGAGGGCGCGCACGACCCGTTATCATCGATCATCGTTAACCCGGCCGACAATTAGGCCCGCGCCGTGACTCCGTTCGCATCGAAGCGCGATATATTCGTCGATAAACGTTCTAAATATCCGCGTAATTTCAATATTCTCGAATAATCGTGTTAACGTGGGTGGCGTGGAACGATCGATGATGCCCCGTGCCTTGTGAGAGTGAGTTCATTTGTGTTTTCTCCTCGCGAGTTTTCTTTATTCGTTTTGCGACGTATTGTATAATTGTTTATATTGATATTAAGAGCAGAGACAAGGTTGAAGCGTGTGTATATCATTCGTTTGCACGTATAATTATATTTCTCATATTATTCGATTATAAGAATATCGAACGTGGTTTATTAAACAATTGCAAAATTACAAAAATATACGTTTCGAAAAGATTAAAAATTCTTCTATGAATTTGATACGCATGATGAATGGACAATAATATAAATATCTCGCAGATAGAAAATTTAAACAGCACGGTTAAAATAATCTCATTGAAAACATCGGTATTTCGGATCGAAGGAGAAGCGAATGAGCGTTATTTCAAAAATAAAATTCTTCCGTGAGAATAATATTACATACCGAGGAAAAAAAAACGGACAATAATATAAAATATTTCGTTAAATAGAAAAAATTTAAATAGCATCTTAATAATTGATAAAATAATCCCATCAGCCATTGGTATTTGTTTGATATAATTAAAATTTCGCGCTTAAAATTCGGACTATTCGATTACTCCCAACGAAAAATTATACAAATAATACACGAGCGAATTTGCAACATTTGCGGAGAAGCGAAAAAAGTGGAAAGAAAAAAAAAAAAAAGAATAATTGAAAAAAAAAAACGAGAAAAAAGAAAA